ATGGCTCAATAATATTTCTTTAAATGTTTTTATTTTTCAATTTTTATCTATTTATTTATTTATTTATTTTGAGACCAAGTTATGAGGCTGGCTAATTTTTGAACTTTTGGTAGAGATGGGGTTTTGCCATGTTGCCCAGGTTGATCTTGAATTCCTGGGCTCAAACAATCTGCCCACCTTGGCCTCCTAAAGAGCTTGGATTACAGGCATGAGCCATCGAGGGCAGCCTTCAATATTTCATTGTATGCATATACCACAATTGTTTATCTGTTCATCATTTGATCGAAATTTCATTGATTCCTTACTTTGGCTATTGTGACTAGTACTGCTATGAACATTAGTGTACAAGTTTTTAGGGTTTTTTTCTTTAATACCTGTTTTCAATTATTTTGGACATACAATTACAACTAATCCAAGTCCATTTTCAAATGACACTGTACCGCTTTGCAGGCAGTGTGAATACCTCATAATAACAAAATAACCTAATTTCTCTCTCCCATTCCTTGTATCAATGATACCATTCATTTCACTTATATGTAAGCATACGTAAGCTATATATGATATATACATTCACCTACATAATTGGTTATATTGCTGCTGTTATTTTGAACAAACTGTTATCTGTTAGATCAATTAAGAATTGTAAAATAAAAGTTTTCATTTTACCTTTACTTACTCCTTCTTTGATGGTTTTACTTTCTTCATGTAGATCAGTTTCTGTCCTTTATCATTTCCCTTCTCTCTAAAGAACTTCTAACGTTGCTTGCAAGACCAGTCTGCTGACAATAAATTCCCTCAATTTTTGTTTCTCTAAGAAAGTCTTCATTCTTCACTTTTGAAGGATAATTTTGCAAAATATGCAATTCTAGGTTGGTGGGTTTTTCCCTTAACACTTTGAATATTTTGCTCCGTTCTCTTCTTGTTTGCATGGTTTTTGAGGAGTTGGATGTAATTCTTATGTTTGTTACTCTATAGGTAAAATTCTCCTCCACACACCTTTGGCTTATTCCAGGACTTTTTTTCTCTTCGATTTTCTGCAGTTTGAAAATGATATGCTTAGGTGTCCTCTTTTTGGCATTTATCCTGCTTAATGTTCTCTGAACTGAGACTCTCCCCAGATAATGCCAAACACGAAACCACCTGGATCTGTGGTTTGATGTCTGGCATTATTTAGGGAAATTCTCAGTCATTATTGACTCCAATATGTCTTCTATTTCTTTCTCTTTCTTCTACTTCTTGTATTCCCATTATGCACATGTTATACCCTTGTAGTTTTCCCATAGTTTTTGGATAGTCTGTTCTGTTGTTTTGTTTCAGTTTTTGTTCTCTTTGCTTTTTAGTTTTTGAAGTTTCTATTGATATATCCTCAAGTTTAGAGATTCTTTACTCAGTTGTATCCTGTCTACTAATAAACGCAACAAAGGCATTCCTTATTTCTGTTACAATGTTTTTGATCTCAAGCATTTCTTTCTGGTTCTCTCTTAGGATTTCCATTTCTCTGCTTACATTGCCCATCTCTTCTTGCATACTGCCTACTTCATCCTTTAGAACCCTCAGCATATTAACCGTAGGTTTCTTAAATTCCTGGTCTGATAATTTCAACACCCTGCCATATCTGGTTCTGATACTTACCCTATCTTTCGAACTTGTGGAGTTTTTTATCATTTTTTTTTTTTTTGCCTTTTGATATGTCTTTTTTTTTTTTTGCCTTTTGATATGTCTTGCCTTTTGATATGCCTTGTAATTTTCAATGTCTTATAATTTTTAATGAGACATGATGTACTATGTAAAATGAACTTCTGCAAATAGGCCTTTGATAATGTGGTGGTAAAGTGGGATGGGGAGAAGAAGCATTCTATGAGCCTATGATTAAGTCTTAGTCTTTATGTACTCTGAGTCCTTTGGTGTATTTCAAAATGGTTCCTTTTTCCTTCCCGCCCCTGAAAGTGTGAGAAGATTTTCCTCCAATATTTACTATGGCAACATGGTTGAGCTCCTGGAGGTAAATCTCATAATATTGTAAAAACCCTTCTATCACTGGGTCCTCCTGGAGTTTTTAATTCTTAGACTTGTCTGCACTGAACCTTCAGCAATTATTTAATTACAGTTTAGATTTTCCTACCCTAGTACCAGTTCCTCTGGCAGTTTCTGCTCATGGGTCACGACCCTGTATTTACCTGTCTCTCCAACCTTGGGAGTAGTAGTTTCCCTGTGTCCTCCCCTATCTTACAGATCCAGTAAGAGTTGTTGACTTTTTCAATCTATTCAGTTTTGTAGTTGTTAGGAGGGCATGGATTTCCAAGCTGCTTACATGCAGAACCACAAACTAGAAGTCCATACATAGCTTTTAACAACAACAACAACAATAAAAATGAAAAGAAACACCATAGAGGCAAGAAGGAAAATATTCTGAAGGGGCATGTCAATCATCAGAACCAGACTCAGGTATGAAATGGGGAGAATGCTTAATATATTTAGGCTTTAACATAAAAGTAGGCAACATGCATGACCACAAAGGTGGCAATTTTAAAAAGAATCAAAAGGAAATGCTACAAATAAAAAAATACAACAACAGAAATGAAGAATGCCTTTGACAAGTTTGTTAATAGAATGGACACAGACATGAATAGAATCAGTTAACTTGATGATAGACCAATAGAATCTTTCCAAACTGAAATACAAAGAGAAAAAAGAATTACAGAAAAAAACCAGAGTAGAACATACAAGAACTGTGGAACAATAGCAACAAGTATAACATATACAAAAGTGGGGCCAGGCTCAGTGGCTCACACCTGTAATCCCAGCACTTTTGGAGGCCGAGGTGGGCGGATCATGAGGTCAGGAAATCGAGACCATCCTGGTTAACACGGTGAAACCCCGTCTCTACTAAAAATACGAAAAATTAGCCAGGTGTGGTGGTGGGCACCTGTAGTTCCAGCTACTTGGGAGACTGAGGCAGGAGAATGGCATGAACCTGGGAGGTGGAGCTTGCAGTGAGCCGAGATCGTACCACTGCACCTGGGTGACAGAGTGAGACTCTATCTAAACAAACAAACAAACAAACAAACAAAAAACATAACTGTAATACCAGAAGGAGAAGAAAGAACAAATGTCACAGAAGAAATATTTGAAGACATAGTGGACAAGAACTTTCCAAATTAATGACAGATACTAAACTACACATTCAGGAAGCTCAAAAAACAGGATAAACATGCACAAACATGCACTACACACACACACACACACACACACACACACGCATATTATATCTAGACATCACCTTAAAAGAGAAGAAGACCAAAGACAAAAAATTCAATCCATTTATCAAAGTGTCTACAGTTTCTGAATCTAGAGATATGAAACAATAATAAATTTGCAAAGGAAATTTTTTTAAAAGCAGCCCATAACATTGGTGAAGCCAATGTGCACATAAGGTTATTTTATGGAGGTGCAAGTAAGATTATTTTAGTATCAAAGGAACACATATGATAAAGAAATGTTTGGAATATAGAAAGAGGAGGCAGGAGGAAAGTTTTGGAGGTGATGGATGTGTTCACTACCTTGATTGTGATGATGGCTTATAAATGTATGCATATCTCCAAATCCATCAAATTGTATATATTAAATATGTCCAGTTTTTTGTATATCATTTACGCCTCAATAAACTGTGAAAAAATATAGAGAAAAAGAAAAGGAAAGAA